AACTCCTAATTTGTAGCTCCATTACAAACATGTATAGTATTATGATGCTTTAGAATGATTTTTTAAACCCAAATTCCTAAAAATGCATGATTAAAGTTTGCATAGTAGAAGGGTATGCTGTGACCGGTATGCAATTATGATGGCATGACAAACATGTGCTCAGTAAACCAGTCAATCTCAGCATGGCATGCTGAGTTTGATATACAATGATTGATTTTAATCCCTGTGTGTATTTGATGTATTCAGTTTACCATATTTTTGGTTATGGAATTTGGTGAAAATCATATCTTGACCTCAAATTTTGGCAAAAATCATGGACAATCATATACAGCAATCAAATATATAGCTATTTATTAGTCATCTGCCATAAAACTACTATAAACTAAACTTTCACTCTAAAAAATCTTAAGAAGGAAATATATTAATATTTGGGATAATCATACAACAGGGATGATGAAAAGCAATCTAACCTGCTCCTCTCCGTGCTTCTGGGCTGTCTCTGCCTTGTTCAGTCCAGTAAGACCACCATAGTGACGTTCATTGAGGCGCCACGTCTTGGAGATAGGGATGTTTGTCTGGCCAATCTCATTGAGAATGATATCAAGGGTCTTGTTGGCTCTTGTGAGGACTGAGGTGAAGGCAATGTCAAATTTGAAGTTGGCCTCCTTCAGAGCCTTGCCGGCAGCATGGGCTTCAGCCACACCTGGTAAAGGAGATGAGCATGGTTATTGTTATCACCATGTTAACAAATGCATTCATTAAAAAAAAAGAGCTTTGTTTATTCATTATATATCTAGGATTTCTTGGATAATGGTTAAAAAACAAACTGAAGAGAAATGCATTACTAGAAAGGATGAAAATCATGTGCTTTTTTAATTTCATCAAAGTAGTCTTTCCTCAACATGTTCAAATAATAAAAAAAATACCTGCTGATAAAATTTCTAATTCCAAAAAACTATGACATTTCGTATGACAGATTTCAATAAATCCTTGGTGAGAAAGTACTATAGACAGGGGAAACTAACAAAGTGGGAATGATGAAACTAATGGAATAGAAATAATGAAATAGAATATTACACACAATTTCTTCCACTTCCATAAATCCAGATAAATAAAAGATAAAATCATCAAAGATACTTCATTTTCTTGAGTGGAAAATCTATATGCAAAAACACAAAATATGGCCCCTCAAAATCCCTCATTTAGCACTAAATGAGAGATGCTAACCATGCCTGCTATGGACCTATGAGGCCTTCTTCATTAGTGCAATGGCAATACTTTATCATTATTATCATTATAATAATGATAAAATTTCATCCATATCCCCCTCAAAATGACAAGCTCTGAAATGTCAAACCTGAAAGTGCGAAATGCACGATAAGTGTATAGATAAATCTTAAAAAACAAATGAAGTATAACAATATTAATAAAAGACCTTTAAAGCAGACGATGTGGGAAATAGGTGGTAACTTGTTTTTTTGCATCAAGCGAGTGTACTTAGCTGCTGGAACACTGAGTGGACTTAGGCTGTGATCGAGACCTTCCGCTACCCTTTTCTTTTATTTGTGGCGTTACCATTCGTGTCTGCAGAATATTTCTTGTACCAACCACAATTACCTTTTGTCCTTTACAAGAATATCATCTTCAATTTGCCCTTACTTAGTACGGCCATACCGTACAGACTTTCCAATTCCACACATCACCAAAAATTGTTGGGGAGAGAAAAAAATATAATGGAAAATTCCATTTTCTCAAGAATTATCATGAAAAGCTGACATTGACTCTGTAGTATGCAGCTTTCCAGGAGAATTTCTTGTCAGGAATTCTTCACATGGTTTATAACTAATCCATAACTGCCACTCCAACCCCCTCCCCCCTCCATCCACCCATCAGCTGCTTGCAAATCAATGACTGCAAGCTTTATTTATTGTTATTTTTATTTCTATTTATTTTTATCATCATTATTATCAACATTATCATCACTATCATAACTAGTTGTTCCATGGTGGGTAACCTTCATAAATAAGAGCATGTTTATCTAATTCCTATAAAAAGAGGAAAAAATCTATACAAATTCTGCAACATGATACATTTGAAAATAACAAATACTAATTTCCTTCAATACTGAATAACAATTTTCTTAATGTACAAGGTAAAAAGTAATTCTAATAATAGAAACAAACCAAATCTTCCAGAAATATACAGAGACAGTAAAGTAAAGTAAAGTAAAAAAAAAAAAAAAAAAAATCATCATCATCATCATCCATTCACCAAACACTCAACCAAATAATCGATCTTTGCCTTCGGAGATCCCTTCGTTCACCCACAGAATAGTGTTGGGGGGAAAACACTTTCCACTGAAGGGCGTGAAAGAGGTCACCTTCAGGCACGTCATGGAAGAATACTGTCATTTCCGGCGAATGGTGTGGAAAGGGAAATCTGTGCAATCATCGGTATCTTTCCATTCTGTCGGCAATGATTTTTCCTCTTCTAATGCGTTCTGTTTTGGGTGTGGGAGGAATGATGAACTCCTACGTGAGGAAAATGATGTACGTGAGATGTACATTGTATACAATGGTGAAGTGGGTTGCATCATTCGCTATCGTAACCTATGAGATCTGCCTACACTTTGACCTTCAATATACCGATAATATAAACTTTAAAACGACTCGATAACCACAGCCCCTTAAAGATAGCTTAGCAATAGGGGAAAGCTAAAAACAAGAGCCATTCAACTCGAAATAACTCTTAGAAAGGGAAAGGAAAACCGCTTGTAATTTCACCTTGTTCAGACAGCATAGCGTCGTGCCAGCCGCAGAATTTGTTCAATTTGTTCCACTCGCTCTCGCCGTGGCGGATCATCACAATCTGGTACTTGGCCATTTCGAGGAGCTTGTGGGTGCCGGAGCCGATAGAACGGAGAGAAGCGATCCTGAGGAGGCGAGAGACCCAACTGGTGCAGGAAGCGAGTCGCCGGCTGGGGTGCGTCGTCTGCCCTCGCCGTCGTCCGCTGCGACCTTCAACGTCCTCGTGCCGCTGCCAGATGCCGCAGCCGGGAACCCTTAGGATCGAATTCTATTTCGGGAGGCTCTAACGCCCTTTCGAAAAATTATGCCCGGTTAGATTTTTACCTAGGGACATCGGGCGGTGACGTGTCATTTTAGACGTGCCGATAGGTTTCTATAAAGTAAATATTTGCTTCGTTGCCGTGCCGTCATGGCAACGATGCACGTTGGCACATCCACCGAAAATCGGAATTTTTCTCATACATTTGATCTTGTAACCAATTGCGGGCTTCATTCATAATGAAACCTTTTACTCCATTATCTTTGATGGATTTATTCTCAGAGGCCTGTAAAAAAAACTTTTCTTCTTGCGTAGTCTCATCCTTGCAATACCATGAAATTTATTGATTATCAGCCTCCGTTCACGCTGCTAAGGTAGGCTCTCAATCTGATTGACACAAGTTGTTGCAATTTGTTTGTTTATAAATAAAGCAATTGTTGCTGCCCCAGGATAAACTCGAGGGAGGTTAGGAAATCATCGTACATCAGGCAAACGACGTTTCAGTATATGCAATTCCATTATTTTGCGGTTTTATCGTGCACTCGCCTTGAATTCTCCGTCAAACAGCTCAGTCCTATGTGCATGAGAAACGTCCCATTCTAGAAGGGCGTTTGAATTATCATAGGGCAATCAATCACCTTTATCGCTTATGACATTCAAGTAGCATAGAAATATATTTTTCTATTTAAAAGGTCAGGTAGCGTATAATTACACGTCCAAAATAAGTAGAATTCTTTAGGTTATCATCGTTTCCCGTTAGTCTTCCCTATTCTAGATTTCTGCTCAAGCTGGTATTTGTCATTCACCTCTTATTAACTTGGACGAGCGTATTTCCGATTGCTTGAAAGCCTGAAGCATTTCAAGGTTTGAGATTTGATATGCAGAATCATCTTAATCCAGCGTATCACATTGCATTCAATTGTGGTTATCCCCCCCCCCGTTTTTTGTGCCAAGTAGTTATTCTTCACCGACTGGTATTTTAAATTCCGGAACTTAAGTTGTGGGAATCATCCTGTTTAATTCATTACTGCCTTACGAGGGTTTTTGCGGATTTCGTCAGTATGTTGTTAATTCCATGTTTTTTTTTTTGGAAATTAAGTACCATCAGATTTGAAATAACTTTAAAATTACTAATCCAAGGAACAGGACTGGAATAATTATAAACGGAGACTGGTGTAGAGGTTATTGAAAATCAGGTCTAGGTTTTATTCATCTTTATTATTATTATTTTTTTTTTTAAGTTGAGCAGAATGCCATCCGCTTGCACCAACAGGGTAGGAACTGAAAATAAAAAAATAAAAATTATAAAGTTGCATTTACAAAATACAATAATCTGGTTAGAAAATCTAACCCCTCAGCCGCACGGTACAGGATCACGCGGGAAAACATGTAATGTAATTCTAAAACTGGTGAAATGGTACCAACCGGTTATCAAGAAATGTACCGTCTACTATATACTCTGAAGATATCAGAGTATGCAATAGATAGTTTATTTCTCAATATGCAAAAAGATAGTCTTATATTTATCAATATTGTATACAAAATAGTAAGAAACCACTGTTTAAATAATGAACCATCCATCATCAAAGATTAATGTATCCATCATTGGTCTGCTTAACTTGACATTGCTGATAATCTTTAGTGTATCGCCACATGTATTTATCAAGTACTGAAATAATCAACTTACACTTGTACAAATGTATAGGATTTGTTTACTTGAAGCGTTTAGTAAAAAAGGTCCTGCAGCACAAAATATACCTGAAAAGAATATTTTTAATGAAGCACAATTTCCACTTTATTCTTTGCAGCTATATAAAATTCTTTCAGAGGTAGTGACGAGTTTGATTTCACATTTAAATCAGAATACTTAAGGTTGTACATCATGATGTGAACATGCCAATGATCAAAGCTTTAGTGCTTACCATAGTTTTTTCATTTAACCTTCCCATCTTCCAGAAATTCAGAAATAACCTGCAAAGACAAAGCAGAATTTTAGACAAAACACAATATCCTCTAATATAATTAAATTATTCATATACACCTTCAATCAGCAGTAGCTAGTAGTGATCAGGAATCACACTTTTCTTTATTCATCACTTCAAGTAGATTCGATTCTTAAAGTTTATTAACTATATAAATCTCAGTTTATAGCATACCTTTCCTCCACTCTTTACACACCACTGCTTGTCGAGCTGTAACAAATTCAGATTATTATTACAAATGAAACCATAGAACCAATAAAATAAAAATCTCTTTCAGCTTCGCGTTCAGATTTAAAATTTACTTTCACAAGTATTCAGAGAGTACACTAGGGATCATCATTTTTTAATTTGAAACCTTAAAAGTAATCTATACAAACCTGAAATACAGCAAGCCTTCATCTTTGCAGGACCATTTGAAGTTCCTGTAAAAAAAAAAGAATGATTATATTATACGATATAATAACCCTTAAGATGTATACATGTGTAATATACTCAGAGATCTTGGTGGAAAGTAATCAGTCAAATCATAAGTAGCAAATGGGGTCATCCTAGTAGTCATGGACATTTTTTATTTTTTTTTAATTTAAGTTTAAACAAATACACACCTTTATTCCCTGATCCCATGCATACTTGAGAAGTGTAGTTGGTTCAGAGCGGTTATCCCATCCTGATTTACAAGAAAATTCATTAGGAACACCACATCAAAATTTTACACATTTCTTCTTTTAACAACATATCAGAGATCTTGGTGGAACGTAATCACGGATCAGAAGTAGCAAATATTATCATCAGGTTGCATTTACTTAAGCATTCTTGGCAGCAAGTCCTTTACTCACCTGATGACTGGATAATTTAAGGATCACTAGCAAATCTGTTGGGCAAGGAAATAAAATTATTAAGGCATATTCAGGCTTTGACTGAACATATTGACTTAAAGACCTCAGATCTTGGTGGAAGTAATATTTTATCATTATCCATCAATTACTTAATATCATCATACAATTCTATCTAAAAGTACTTTTAAAACCACTTTCTTCCACATGTTCCAAGATCTTCAAAATTATAGGAACATGAAAGTGATATGAATGGAGTAGATAGCTTGGAGTGTGGTAGGGAAGTCAGTTGGATTTGTTTTAAGAGTACTTTTATAAATTAAAAATGGTTGCTTACCTTAAGGATGTACAGCAGTTTTCATGAAAAAATACAAATGAGAAGACTGTGCAAAATCCATATAGCTACATCCATCCCAAGTTATACTACTTCTGCATGCAAATTTATATAATTAGATTTAATATCTAAGCTAAGCTTATTCTTAAAAGATTAAATATATATTCAGTTCAGCATAAGTTTTCTGCATACTTTCCTCTGATCTGGTGCCAAAATATTCATCATGTTCTATTTCTCCCCATTGTATGGTACATTAAAATACTTCTGAACCACTAATCCAGATTACTTGGTAAAAAATGCACTAACACTTACTAACCTTAAATTTCACATTAAGTTCTAACACCATGTAAACTAGAATAAAAAAAGTAAGCCATTAGATTGAACAGTTTTTGGTCAAATTTACGTAATCATGCATTATATCAGTGACCACGAAAATCATCTATGAATATTCAGGGATGATTAATTTATGCATCACTTTGTCGAGAACTAGTTTTATAAACAGGTTCCAATACATACCATTCCTTATGGAATTACAGCAGATGCCTCAGTACATCTGTAACCTGAAGTAAATTAGATAAGTTAATCAAAATTTAGAGTTTCAACTTAATTTAGCAGGAATTATTCAGTTTTCACAAAACGATAAGGGAATTTTAATAGCAGGAAAGTTACTCTACTAACCAACTAACATTTAGATAAACTTTAATCAAATTTGCAATCAAACAAAAATCTCCTACCATACATTTTCAGCCAATGCCAATTCTGTATTAAGGATCAATTTTTTAAACAAATCATTGAAACTGCTATAAACTTCACATCACATGCAAAAGAGACCGCCTCTTAACATCTATGCAACTAAAATGAATCTGTTTACTGCTCTCAACATACAATACCATTTATCAAATATTTCATAAGGTAGGAAGGAAAAATAAAAATATGGTAATATAAAATCTGTATCTTTCCATAGTGACAAGTAAAGACTTCCCTAACCTGTCTCACCAAGGAATAGAAATTTATCTTCTTCCACTTTCGGCGCCATATTAGCAATTGCAACCAATATGGGTTCCTATGGGAAGGAATTATATTGAATATCATGGCCCATGATTTTCATTATTATTTATCTAATCTACTTAAACTGGCTAAATATCACCAAGTTATAAAGGCAGTAGATACTTGCAGCTTTTGTATTTGGAGAAAAATCTTGAATACAAAATATCTAAGAATGTAAACAAAATCAGTTTAATATAAATGCATCCCAATTTCCACAAAAGTAAAAAGGCGCATGTATAAGGCTTCCAAGAAATGCTTTAGCATAGCAGATTCCTATACTTAAGCAAATTATTCCATACCGAGTTTAATCATAACTTACCATGGGCAAGCAAAGCAAATTCAGTGTAGTCACTACTATCCAAGTACACAATTTCTGTAATGGAAATTTACTATAATTAGAGTAATATTCAAGCAACCTTAAAAGGCTAAAGATATATATTACTTAATTATCAGTCTAGCATAGGTATTCTGCATACTTTCCTCTGATCTGGTGCCAAAAAATTCATCATATTCTATTTCATTTCAGTTATGTCAGAAATGTATCCATATTTACTCAATTTCCAATAAAATTACAACTTACCATAGGCAAGTCCCGCAACTTAAAATCACCATACTGGAAAAAATTAAATTTTTACAGATAAGAACTTACAGTCTATAATCTATATTTCATGTACTGTATTAAAAAATAAATAAATCCACAATGCAGATTGTGTATTTTACAAGAGCAAGTTTGTTCCTAATCCAATGGAGACCAAAAGTATAGGTTAACTTAACATCTCACCCTTGGAAAAGGGTTTCTTCTACTTCCACTTGACGGCCAGAAACAATTTCCTTCCTGGTGCTTTTGGGAAGGGAATACTTTTAATAAATCTTTAATATGAAGTGTTACGTCAAACATCTATATTTCTGACAATACAGTATTTGCCATGATGCATGCTTTTCAACTTTTAAGGAGTTGAAAAGCATGCCATTGAATAAAAGATTTACAAGAGATCTTCCCCACTTCCTAGATAAAATTTGAAGCAAATCTACCCTATATCAACTCGCCATTGAAAACTATTGAAATTACTGGGAGAGCAACATGGTTACAAAGTTACCACTAAACCTACATGTTCAGCAGCTGCTGCTATTTTGCCACTTCTCTGCAATTCTCTTCTCGCATTTCCCCTGCATTTCTGTAATGAAGAAAGCCTTTCTTGAGAGGCAATAACAGATTTTTATACCCAATATAAACATTCAATGTTACACATTGTCCCTTGTTCCATTGCGACAATTGGCACTTTTCACTAATCATCTCACCCAGGAACAGAAGTTACTCTTCTTCCTCCTTCGGCACCGCATTAGTAATTGCAACCAACATGGTTTCCTATGGGAAGGTATTGAACTTTCAATAGGCATGTACTTTTGATATGCCATTACATACCTTTTCTAAGGGTGTGGTGGTACACTTCTCCTGCATCATCTCGCACTTTGAAGGGCTTCTAAAAGAAAATTTTTCCAAAATTAGGATTTGTATATAGATTTAAGTACCTAAAATGTACCAAATTTCAATCTAATTTAATCGTTGTCTCTAATCCAATTTGAGACCAAAAGTATGTATTAACTATCATCTCAGGCTTGGAAAAGGCTTTTTATCTACTTCCACTTGACGGCCAGAATGGAATAATTTCAATTCTGGTGCTTTTGGGAAGGCAATAATACTAAAAGTATTCACATCCAAGGTAACAAGCATCTATATTTAAAATCCATCTAGGCAAAGCATTCTGATAATTTTAGCTATAAAGTCTTCTGCGGCATGGTTTGTAAACAGGAGAGTACTCACTGAAAGTGAATGGTATGTAAGGAAGTTATCACTAGTAAATTAAATTCAAATACAAAGTCATTTCACCTGTACTTAAAATTACACATTCTACCGAATAACAAAACCTATCATTCATCAAACCAGTGCTTACCTGTGTTTTATGCAGCAGAGTTAAATTTTCTGGTCAAGTTTACTGCTCCATCACAGGGATTCCTGAAAAGATGTCAAAATACTATTAAATGTATAACAGAGGGAAGAGGGAGGGTATTAATGCAACATTTTTATATAATTTTGTCTCTTGTTCCATTGCGATAATCGGCACTTTCCACTGATCATCTCACCCAGGAAAAGAAGTTACTCTCCTTCCTCCTTCGGCACCGCATTAGTAATTGCAACCAACATGGTTTCCTATGGGAAGGTAAAATTACAAGACAGTTATTGCAAACATTACATACCTTTGATCTATGAGATTCAGCAGTATTGGTCTTCAACCCAATCGATATGCCTCCAACTTCACCTTCTGGAAGATAAAAAAATCATTTTATAGAGCTTTCTATCTCATATCAGTCCATTACTGTAAAATGGTCAAATCATGTGTTCCAACTGCCATTGCAACAATGTATAACAGAAGGAAGGGGGAGGGTATTAATACATCATTTTATACAATTTTGTCCCTTGTTCCATTGCGACAATCGGCACTTTTCACTGATCATCTCACCCAGGAAAAGAAGTTACTCTCCTTCCTCCTTCGGCACCGCATTAGTAATTGCAACCAACATGGTTTCCTATGGGAAGGTAAAATTACAAGACAGTTATTGCAAACATTACATACCTTTGATCTATGAGATTCAGCAGTATTGGTCTTCAACCCAATCAATATGCCTCCAACTTCACCTTCTGGAAGATAAAAAATCATTTAATAGAGCATTCCACCTCATATCAGAGTCCATTACTGTAAATCATTAAATTATAATTTGTTCCAACTTCCATTGCGACAAAGAGCACTTTCAACTCAATATCTCACCCTGGAACAGGATTTACTCTACTTCCTCTTTCGGCGCCATACAAGCAAGTACAACTAACATGGGTTCCTATGGGAAGATATGTTTCTAGTTTACTGATAGCATAATTTATAGGAAATTAATACTAACCAGCACTTCATTCTTCAGGTTTGACAAATTTTGCTTGTATGAAGATCCTTTGCGCATCAATGCCTTCCTTCTTATTGACAGTTTGACGTGTAACATAGGAATTATTGGCAGTTACAAATCCTGCACCTTCGAACAACTGAGAAAGCTCCTCCTCCGTAAAGTAATATGCCCTAAAAGGAAAGATTTACATTAGTAACAATTTCAACTGAGGATAGTCCTCAAATACATAAATTTTGAATTTCTTATAAGAATCTACATCACCTTACAAATCATAAGCAATAGGTACTAACCTAGTACCATCCTGTCGCACATATAGACGCTCCCCAAGTTTGCTCCCCGGCCCAAACCTCAACATAGCCATGTCATACAAGCCATAGTCGCGGACTAGCACCATGCCTCCTGGTCGCAGGCATCGATACAAGTTTGAAATGGCAGCTTGGAATTTGTCAGGATGCAAGGCCGAAAGGACAAAAATCAAGCTTACAATGTCCACAGTATGGTTGGTCTTTTCAAGCAATTCATCCTGAAAACAGGAGAAAATGTTCTTGCATTATAATTTTGAAACCAGTAGATCTTCTAAATTCTCATTCACAGTTTTTAGTCCCAATATAAATTCTAGTTATGGACTCACCTCAGTAATGTCACAGTGGAATGCACAAACTTTAGTTTCATCATACATGGGATGGCTCTGCACAAATTCAATTGCTCTGGGGGAGAAGTCACATGCATACACAAAAAGGTTCAGGCCATCTTCCAACAGTGGATAGAAGAAATTTCCAACTCCACAACCAACCTATTGACAAGAAATAAAATATAGAGTATATATATATAAAATAGATTAAATATAAAAATAAGTAATATAATTCAAATAACTTCTTATTCAAATATTTCAACACTTAAATTAGTATCAAATACAAATTCAAATACATTACTCACCTCTAACAATGTTCTTTTCACAGCACCGTCTCCTATAAGGTCTTGAAACTCCCGGGTTGTCCAATGCCGATCTTTGAAAAACCTTCAAAATGAAAGAGGTTTACTTAATACAGTTGCTAATAATTCAGATGCTATTAATACTTCTCATGTACCTGCTAAGTTTATTCTCAGGACAATCAGCACCATGCATACCTAGTTTCATTGCGCTTGTAAAACTTGTCCCAATTTTTTGCTGCTTCTTGCTCTAGTTTCTTTTGCAGGAATTCAGAGAGCAATCCACGCGACTCCTGCTGTTTCAGCTTCTGCTGCTCCTCTGGGGTCAGGGAGCGGAGGTGGTGCCCGAGTGCCCCACTTTCTGGGCAAGCCATCACTGAGAGTGAAAGGTGGGTCTACTTTAGAGGATTCATCTGTAAAATCAAGCATTTCCAAGTAAATATTAAAAATAATGTAAGAGTAAGGAATGCATAGATAGCTTATAATTTTTGCACTTCCAAACAACTGAAAAATTAATATCTAAAATGAGGGAGAGGGAGAGAGGTAGAATGTGTTCAGGTCAAGAAGGAAACATGGTGGGCATGAGAGCACGTTCATGAAAGAACATTTGAAAGTTCTATTTTGACGATTTATAATAGTACATGTGAATAAAAATATACTCACTGGCTTCCAGAACTGGGAAGGCTTGGCCAATGTTCTGTAATGCACAGAAAAGAATATTAATCCCATATCTTGTAGCAAACAAGACCAAAAACTTGCAAATCAATAATCAGCTCCGAAACATTTAACATTATAAATTCTATATGGCACTATGTTTTCATCAGTCTATTGCATAGAGTAAGTAAATACATTGTGAAATCAAGATACTTGCCTCTAGTGTAGCATTTCGACACTATTCAAGAAGTCACAGAACTCCTGAAAGTGAATGAAAGCCTATTTGATATACAATGGTATTTTCTGTAGAAGAGTAACAGTTCAGACCAAAGTATCTCAGTTTTTCAAAGTAGCGCCAAAAATAAAAAGTGAAAAAACAGAAAAACAACATTTCTCGGTTATATATGTAATCATATTTTAAAAAATAAGAACTATTCTGGGATGTAACGTTAAAAAAAAAAAAAAAAAAAAATGATACGGGTTGCTATAACGGTACTCGACCACGTGGTACGTTCCTCGATTCATTAATTATCAATAAATAATGAATAGAAATCTTGCCCCGTTGTTACGTGAATACAATTGTACTTTTTAAGATGGATTACTTTAAAAAACAAAGCATTAGATAAAAAGCATTAGCTAGGTGTGGAAAGAGCCTTGTAGCATTAAAATATATATTGAAGTAAATATTTCCAGTTATGAAAAAACTCTTTAGAACCAAGGATGTAACACCACTCAAAACTTGCGACAATTAGAAGGCAAATACTACACTGAAACCATATGAATAGTAAATAAATTACTTTTACGTACTTCTTAAAATCGCTCCTGGACAAGATCCCAGTAAGGACACCTTAGCAACCGCACATCTTTCGTTTCGTAATCGGTGAACATCCACCATATGGGTACATAATAATCAATGGCGATAAGTGAATCGCCTTCCACACGTGTTGAACTACTAGTTAGGACACGTGTACAAGCAACTTACCAATAGAATTTCTAGATTCCCCAGATTCTAGATTTCTCGGGAGATGAGGGAGAGGACTTTCTCTTTAGCCTGCGAGGACCGAGTGGCCGATTCTCTTCGTCTTGCTTACGTCACTTCCTCGCTCGCACTCATTTCATGCCGCGCACTACCAGATAATCGTTAATAAACGTTTATTATCCCTCTTTCGACGATATTTAAGACAATTATTTACACAAATATGATCTGAAATATAATATCGGCCATTTTCAGTCCTTTTAGAGTAAATATAAAAATAAATCGTCTTTCAAAAATAGTAAAAGGCGGTCAAATGAATAGGTAACTCACCTCCTCCGATCTTGGAAGACGTGTACCAATGAGAGAGCAGAACTAGATGTGACGTCAACCAATCGAAATTCACCCAGTGGTACCACGTGGTCTAAATTGACCAATCAGAGAGCTCCACGAGACTTTGCAGACGATACATGTATCCCAACGCAAGCTTAGGACGCCGAGTGTCATTCACCGACAGAGGGAGGAAAGACGTACACTGAGTGAAGTTCTGTGATTACTTGTGATTGAATCTACGTGATTCATACAGTGGTCTTTTAAACGACGTAAGTATTAGTGTTTTATTGTTTGTGATGCTGGGCTGGTGTTGCAAAAGCGAATATGCAAATATTTTAACGTGATTTCTCGACTTTGGGTTTCCGAGGAAAGATTACCGGCACAACATTGTTAAGGTTAGAAAAATGTCGGTTGCATCTAATTATATCCAATTCCTTATTGTTCATGGTAAATTGCAAATATTTGTAACTATATTCCATGCAGGGAAAAGCACAAAATTAAAATGTTTGACGAATTGAGGGGCGGGGTGTGGGCGTAGGCAGATTCGAGAACCTCCTAGAAATATCGTATTTCCTGGCCCATTCCCTTTAGTGGTAACTATTAATACCCTCTAAACGTTAATCATAAGTACTTTCTGGATATGCCTGGTTATTAAAAATATCACATATGATCAAAAATGCGGTAAAGCTGTTCAGCAGGGGATGTACCGGCTTCACCTGTCAAAGTCATCATGTGTGAATTATAACCTCGGGGAAAACGCTAATTTTAGCATGAACAGACTACAACAAGGTCATTGGCCCCAGATTTCTTCAGCAACATATGTTACTCTTTTTCGCGTGGCAAATGGCAACCGGAAGTTTAAAACACCCGTCAAGTAGGGCGTGTGACGTCAGCAGGTGGTCAACCTAACGGGATAAGTCGGTCCCTCGTTGGCGTCGGGAATGCTTAGGTGTCAGGGTGGTTGTCCATGTGTCGCTTGAGGAGGAAGTTTAACTATCGTACCTCTTTATATTTTAGGGGTAATATGGGTTAGGAATTGGTGAATGACAGCTTTGCTACACCAATATCAGCCTTAAAGTTAAATTGCTGGATTTTTTTTTTTAAGTGAATTAGTTGCTAAGCTAGTATGTAGCTGCTGTTAAGGACTTGTTTACTTTGCAGTTAATTAATATATTTTTTTTCTCTTGCAGACAATGAGGTGTTGGACTGCATTAGCAGCAATCGCTGCCGTCATGGCAGTGGCTGCAACGGCGAAGGACAAGAAGGAAGAAGTTGGAACGGTCATTGGTATCGACTTGGGAACAACGTATTCATGGTAAGTTTGTATAGTTATCAGATACCAAATTTCATAGTTTTATTGTATACTTTTGTGTACTTTGCATATATCGTGCATATGATTTTTCCAATATTAAAAAATATCCCCCTCCCCCTCCAGCGTTGGTGTGTTCAAGAATGGACGAGTCGAGATCATTGCCAACGACCAGGGTAACCGCATCACCCCCTCTTACGTCGCCTTCACCGCCGACGGCGAGCGTCTGATTGGTGATTCTGCAAAGAACCAGCTGACGACCAACCCCGAGAACACCGTGTTCGATGCCAAGCGTCTCATCGGACGAGAATGGACCGACAAGTCCGTCCAGCACGACATCCAGTTCTTCCCCTTCAAAGTGATCAACAAGAACGACAAGCCACACATCAAGGTCTCCACCACCCAGGGTGAGAAGGTGTTTGCTGCGGAGGAGATCCGCCATGGTGCTGGGCAAGATGAAGGAGACGGCTGAAGCTTACCTAGGCAAGACAGTGACCCATGCTGTTGTCACTGTCCCTGCCTACTTCAACGATGCTCAACGTCAGGCCACCAAGGACGCTGGCACCATCGCCGGCCTCACCGTCATGAGGATCATCAACGAACCCACAGCCGCTGCCATCGCCTACGGCATTGACAAGAAGGACGGCGAGAAGAACATCCTGGTCTTCGATCTGGGTGGCGGAACTTTCGACGTCTCCCTCCTCACCATCGACTCCGGTGTGTTTGAGGTCGTGGCCACCAACGGAGACACTCATCTTGGAGGCGAGGACTTCGATCAGCGAGTTATGGACCACTTCATCAAGCTGTACAAGAAAAAGAAGGGCAAGGACATCAGGAAGGACAACCGTGCCGTACAGAAGCTCCGTCGTGAAGTGGAGAAGGCCAAGCGCTCCCTCTCCTCCAGCCACCAGGTCAGGATTGAAATCGAATCCTTCTTCGAGGGTGATGACTTCTCGGAGACTCTCACCCGTGCCAAGTTCGAGGAGCTGAACATGGATCTCTTCAGGTCCACCATGAAGCCCGTGCAGAAGGTGCTGGAAGATTCAGACCTCCAGAAGAAGGAAATTGACGAGATTGTCCTTGTCGGTGGTTCCACTCGTATCCCCAAGATTCAGCAGCTGGTGAAAGAATTCTTCGGTGGCAAGGAGCCATCCCGAGGCATCAACCCGGACGAGGCTGTGGCTTACGGTGCTGCTGTCCAGGCTGGCGTGCTCTCGGGTGAGGATGACACCAACGACCTCGTGCTGCTTGACGTTAACCCCCTGACCCTGGGTATTGAGACTGTGGGAGGTGTCATGACAAAGCTGATCCCTCGCAACACTGTCATCCCTACCAAGAAGTCCCAGATCTTCTCCACTGCCTCTGACAACCAACACACTGTCACTATCCAGGTGTTCGAAGGTGAACGTCCCATGACCAAGGATAACCACATCCTTGGAAAGTTCGACTTGACTGGCATCCCCCCAGCCCCTCGTGGTGTCCCTCAGATCGAGGTGACCTTCGAGATCGATGCCAACGGTATCCTGCAAGTGTCTGCTGAAGACAAGGGCACAGGAAACAAGGAAAAGATTACCATCACCAACGATCAGAATCGTCTCACCCCTGAGGATATTGAGCGTATGATCAAGGACGCGGAAGTGTTCGCTGACGAGGACAAGAAGCTGAAGGAGCGAGTTGAATCGAGGAATGAACTCGAGTCCTATGCCTACAGTCTCAAGAACCAGATTAACGACAAGGAAAAGCTTGGAGCCAAGCTTTCCGATGAGGATAAGGAGAAAATGGAGGAAGCCATTGAAGAGAAGATCAAATGGCTCGAAGACAACCCCGAGTCAGACGCAGAGGACTACAAGACCCAAAAGAAGGAACTGGAAGACGTCGTCCAGCCCATCATCACCAAGCTTTACCAACAGAGTGGCGAAGCGCCTCCTCCAACAGAAGACGGTGAAGATTATGAAAAGGACGAATTGTAGATTTTTATATGGGGGCATTAGACGTACCATAATTTATTCTCCTTATGAACGGGGGAGCATATTGCATGGAAAGAATAGTTTTTCATCTTCATCATGTTAATATAGTACTCAGCTAGTTGTCATCTCATCTGTGTGAGAGTTGGGTAAACAAGAAATGCATTTTTTTTCTGTATGTTTCTGCACAATTTCATTCCAAGTGTGAATGCAATAGGATGTATGGTTTCTATAATAAATTATAAAACATTAAATTTACTTGTTATATAACCTGTATTCACAAGATAAATGACATTGACTACTAAAAGGAAATTCATATGAAAAAGCAACACATCTGTAGTTAAATATACTCAGCATTTATACTATATTACAAACTTTAAGTATCTTTTTAAAATAAAAATAAACTGCAGTGACCTAAGCTCAGGAAAGCTACCTGAACTTATGTAATCCACAAGAATTACTTGCCTTTACTCATTCGATACTTTATTTCGTTAAGTGTACACCGATATATTTACCAATTTTATTGTTGAAGAGAAGCTTCGTATTATCATATCTTTCTCTAAATTTAATACCGTACGTGTCTGGCAAGTACGCAAATTTTAACTTGCATACATTAGTGTAAGGGTTTATGTAGAAGTCATAAATGGACATATGGGGAATGGCGCTTGTGGTTTGGAGTACTTTGACAATTAACTGGGGTTTCTCCGAATGTTTTGTGGTGGGTGGTGGTAAGGGGGGGGGGGGGTTAGGCCTACCGTCTGTGAGGCACGGGCAAAATGCTGTGGATTCGCACATACATTGGCAACATTTTACAAACCCTAGTAATTCTTAGTATATATATTTATAGAATACGTAATTCGTTCTTGCATGTACATATTTGTAATAAGAATTATAGTCGTGCTAATGTTAAAACAGATGTGTACATTATATATTTTCTGATAATCATACATATGAATATACACATACATCCCCCTTACAATCCCTTGCTTCTTGTCTTTAAAGGGGGGTGGGGGTGGAGATGGAGGCAGGATCAATGTAGGGGCCTCAGCCCTCGCCTCAACTAATTTTTCACTTTTCATCTTTCTTTTTTCTTCTCTTCCTCCCCTTTTACCCACTTAAAAAAGTGAGAGCTCTCCATCTCTTGTCTTAATCGGTAACTCATTTTTACCCTTTTTGCCACGATATTTTATCATAGTGCTGTATGACATTTCATGTAAGGATTTATTTTTAATCATTAACCATAATCGGAATCCATAAACAACCTTACGAACCTTTCCCCGAAGGATCACTCAATCGCTATATTTTGTATACGCCGCTAATGACATTAAATGTTAACGGAAGATAATTTTGAATAATAATCAATCAATAAATAATACACGTACATACACAAACAAACAATCGAAACTTACACGTGTCCATACAATTGTATAAATGTTACACACACAATCTAGATATTGTATTATATACAAAACTATGTTTATGGTGTATGTAGGGCTATAAATATAATATGTATATGTGAACGCGCACGCAC